TTTTATCTGGCCACTAAACAGCAAATGTCGTCACAATTATCCCCAAAGCCAGTGATGCCGCTTATATTAAAGGGGAGCTAATGTCTGTTTAATATATATACGCCCTGTTTCCCCGAAAATAAGACCTAGTCTGGTGGTAGCATGTGAGGGGGAAGAGCAGGAGAGATGGTATCGGCCTGCAGGGACATACTGTATTAAGGGGATGACAGGGGACTCCCTCCAGACAGCGCAGTGACCGGTAGCACTCCAGTACCAAACTTCACCCACTGCTGTCCCCCTGAAGGCACTGCTTAATGTAATGGTACCGTATTGTGTACCGGTAAATGGTACCGTACTTTACCATGCTGTCCACTGTCTGATGTCCCCACTGCTGCACCGCTGGTACCGCTGCCCCTGATGGCAAAGGAGGCCGGCGCTGTAGAAAGCAAGGCTGCGTCGGCGGAGGGAGCAGAGCCGCATTAGCCGATACTTCCTCTATAGCGCCGGTTACTGTGACACCGGAGTGATACCGGATAACTTTGGATTGCTGTACATTTTGTTGCACATGAAAAAAAAATAAGGCATCCCCTGAAAATAAGACCCGGCGTGTTATTTGGGGGCAAAAAAATATATAAGACAGTGTCTCATTTACGGGGAAACACGGTATACACCGTGCTTCCCCGAAAGTAAGACCTAGGACTATCTTCAGAGATTTCTGTAATAGACCTGCCCCGAAAGTAAGACCTAGTTCGGTGTTAGGGAGCGCACATGTATTGCCGCATCCAAGCAGCCAGCCAGGGGGGTCCGAGAGTGACGTTCAGTTATATGAGCAGCTGGTCTCCTGGAGTCTGCATGTATAAAACATGTCAAGGGCCGCAAGACATTTCATCCATACAAGGCCTCGGACTGACCGCCGCAGCTCCCGCCCGCCCGCCTGCCTGCCTCGGCTTTTGCTTAGAGTGCTTCCGCCGGGCAGAAAACTACATTTCCCAGTAGGCAGCGGCACAGCGCGGCATGGCCAGTGGGGTCGGAGTGAGGTGAGGGAACTTCTGACTGGAGGTCCGTGCGACGAGGTGGCTCCATGGACGGCATCAGAGAGGAGAGCTCCAGGACAGCCGTGTGTGACGGTATTTTTTCATTTTATAATGTAAATATCTACTCCTGCTTTGTATGAATAAGTACACTGACCTGATCATCATGCCTGTGAGCTTATTGGGCATCCCATTCCAAAACCAGGGACATTAATATATGGAGTTGCCCCTCTTTTGCCGCTATAACGTCCTCCAATCTTCTGAGAAGACTTTCTGCAAGAATTTGGATTGGGTCTGTGGAAGTTTGTGCCCATTTGTGAGGTCAGGTACTGACGATGGATAAGAAGACCTCACTTGCCGGCCTCCATGATGGGCAGAAAAACCCGAAAACACCATTCTCTCAAATGGCATTCCAATTCATCCCAAGGGTGTTCAGTGGGGTTGAGGTCGGGGCTCTGTGCAGTAGACTCGAGTTCCTCCCACCACACTGGTCACACCGTGTCTTTAAGATTCCTATATCTCTGCAGTCTAGGCATTGTCCGTCTTTGTTAGGCATTCTCTCATTGTTGGTGTTTTCTTCCCTCTAGATGCAGACAATGTGGGCCCCGCTTCTGTCTATTTGACCTCAAAGAGCTGCCCTGGCACCGACGACAGCTATGGCTGCCTGGCAGCTAACATCCCCGCCCTGGAACTCATGGCGCTCTATGTGGCGGCAGCTATGCACGATTATGATCACCCGGGTCGCACCAACGCCTTTCTTGTGGCCACAAATGCTCCGCAGGTGAGTACAGTTTGTTTTACATTTTCTCCTGTCCCCACCCGGATCCTGGAGGACGTGCTCATGGCAGGATCGTCTGTGAATCCTCTTGAAATCACCTCAAAAATCCTCTCCTGACTTTAATACTCGGAAGATAATTTCTTGTCCTGATCGTGGAAGATATTGTTCTGTCCTTAATCATGGAAATTGCCACTCCTGCTTTGATACTGTTCCCAGATCCCTTCAGTCTAGTTTCTGATCTTCTTCCTCACCCATCCTATCATTTCTCAAGGATCCTGTTGTGACCAACCTCTCGAAAGACCTCTGATCTGACATGATTCAAGGTCATCCTGTCTTGTCCCAGGTCTGACCCTTTGCGGTCCTGGTTCTGATCCTCTGCTGTCCTGGTTCTAATCTTCTGCACTGCTGGTTCTGATCCTCTGCCCTCCCTGTTCTGATCCTCTGCTGTCACAGTTCTGACCCTCTGCTGTCACAGTTCTGATCCTCTGCTGTCACAGTTCTGACCCTCTGCTGTCACAGTTCTGACCCTCTGCTGTCACAGTTCTGACCCTTTGCTGTCACAGTTCTGATCCTCTGCTGTCACAGTTCTGACCCTTTGCTGTCACAGTTCTGACCCTTTGCTGTCACAGTTCTGACCCTTTGCTGTCACAGTTCTGACCCTTTGCTGTCACAGTTCTGACCCTTTGCTGTCACAGTTCTGACCCTTTGCTGTCACAGTTCTGACCCTTTGCTGTCACAGTTCTGACCCTTTGCTGTCACAGTTCTGACCCTTTGCTGTCACAGTTCTGACCCTTTGCTGTCACAGTTCTGACCCTTTGCTGTCACAGTTCTGACCCTTTGCTGTCACAGTTCTGACCCTTTGCTGTCACAGTTCTGACCCTTTGCTGTCACAGTTCTGACCCTTTGCTGTCACAGTTCTGACCCTTTGCTGTCACAGTTCTGACCCTTTGCTGTCACAGTTCTGACCCTTTGCTGTCACAGTTCTGACCCTTTGCTGTCACAGTTCTGACCCTTTGCTGTCACAGTTCTGACCCTTTGCTGTCACAGTTCTGACCCTTTGCTGTCACAGTTCTGACCCTTTGCTGTCACAGTTCTGACCCTTTGCTGTCACAGTTCTGACCCTTTGCTGTCACAGTTCTGACCCTTTGCTGTCACAGTTCTGACCCTTTGCTGTCACAGTTCTGACCCTTTGCTGTCACAGTTCTGACCCTTTGCTGTCACAGTTCTGACCCTTTGCTGTCACAGTTCTGACCCTTTGCTGTCACAGTTCTGACCCTTTGCTGTCACAGTTCTGACCCTTTGCTGTCACAGTTCTGACCCTTTGCTGTCACAGTTCTGACCCTTTGCTGTCACAGTTCTGACCCTTTGCTGTCACAGTTCTGACCCTTTGCTGTCACAGTTCTGACCCTTTGCTGTCACAGTTCTGACCCTTTGCTGTCACAGTTCTGACCCTTTGCTGTCACAGTTCTGACCCTTTGCTGTCACAGTTCTGACCCTTTGCTGTCACAGTTCTGACCCTTTGCTGTCACAGTTCTGACCCTTTGCTGTCACAGTTCTGACCCTTTGCTGTCACAGTTCTGACCCTTTGCTGTCACAGTTCTGACCCTTTGCTGTCACAGTTCTGACCCTTTGCTGTCACAGTTCTGACCCTTTGCTGTCACAGTTCTGACCCTTTGCTGTCACAGTTCTGACCCTTTGCTGTCACAGTTCTGACCCTTTGCTGTCACAGTTCTGACCCTTTGCTGTCACAGTTCTGACCCTTTGCTGTCACAGTTCTGACCCTTTGCTGTCACAGTTCTGACCCTTTGCTGTCACAGTTCTGACCCTTTGCTGTCACAGTTCTGACCCTTTGCTGTCACAGTTCTGACCCTTTGCTGTCACAGTTCTGACCCTTTGCTGTCACAGTTCTGACCCTTTGCTGTCACAGTTCTGACCCTTTGCTGTCACAGTTCTGACCCTTTGCTGTCACAGTTCTGACCCTTTGCTGTCACAGTTCTGACCCTTTGCTGTCACAGTTCTGACCCTTTGCTGTCACAGTTCTGACCCTTTGCTGTCACAGTTCTGACCCTTTGCTGTCACAGTTCTGACCCTTTGCTGTCACAGTTCTGACCCTTTGCTGTCACAGTTCTGACCCTTTGCTGTCACAGTTCTGACCCTTTGCTGTCACAGTTCTGACCCTTTGCTGTCACAGTTCTGACCCTTTGCTGTCACAGTTCTGACCCTTTGCTGTCACAGTTCTGACCCTTTGCTGTCACAGTTCTGACCCTTTGCTGTCACAGTTCTGACCCTTTGCTGTCACAGTTCTGACCCTTTGCTGTCACAGTTCTGACCCTTTGCTGTCACAGTTCTGACCCTTTGCTGTCACAGTTCTGACCCTTTGCTGTCACAGTTCTGACCCTTTGCTGTCACAGTTCTGACCCTTTGCTGTCACAGTTCTGACCCTTTGCTGTCACAGTTCTGACCCTTTGCTGTCACAGTTCTGACCCTTTGCTGTCACAGTTCTGACCCTTTGCTGTCACAGTTCTGACCCTTTGCTGTACTGGTTCTAATCTTCTGCCCTGCTGGTTCTGATCCACTGCCTTCCCAGTTCTCATCCTCTGCTGTCCCGGTTCTGATCTTCTGCCATCCCAGTTCCAATCCTCTGCTTTCCTGTTTCCCATCCTCTGCCTTCCTGTTTCCCATCCTCTGCCATTTCGGTTCCCTTCCTCTGCCATCTCGGTTCCCATCCTCTGCCATCTCGGTTCCCATCCTCTGCCATCTCGGTTCCCATCCTCTGCCATCTCGGTTCCCATCCTCTGCCTTCTCGGTTCCCATCCTCTGCCTTCTCGGTTCCCATCCTCTGCCTTCTCGGTTCCCATCCTCTGCCATCTCGGTTCCCATCCTCTGCCATCTCGGTTCTCATCCTCTGCCATCTCGGTTCTCATCCTCTGCCTTCTCGGTTCCCATCCTCTGCCATCTCGGTTCCCATCCTCTGCCATCTCGGTTCCCATCCTCTGCCATCTCGGTTCCCATCCTCTGCCATCTCGGTTCCCATCCTCTGCCATCTCGGTTCCCATCCTCTGCCTTCTCGGTTCCCATCCTCTGCCTTCTCGGTTCCCATCCTCTGCCATCTCGGTTCCCATCCTCTGCCTTCTCGGTTCCCATCCTCTGCCATCTCGGTTCCCATCCTCTGCCTTCTCGGTTCCCATCCTCTGCCTTCTCGGTTCCCATCCTCTGCCTTCTCGGTTCCCATCCTCTGCCTTCTCGGTTCCCATCCTCTGCCTTCTCGGTTCCCATCCTCTGCCTTCTCGGTTCCCATCCTCTGCCTTCTCGGTTCCCATCCTCTGCCTTCTCGGTTCCCATCCTCTGCCTTCTCGGTTCCCATCTTGAAGGATCGTTTCCTATCTTGAGTCTGATTGAGTGATATTTGCTCCTCCTCAGTCCCATGTCTGGTTTTAGACCAAGGTTTTATGTCCTGATATTGATGCTTGACGGATACTCAACTGACTGGACCTTGATGCCTCTAGGTTACTTGGTAGATCTAAGACTGGTCTTGCTGGAGATCTTTGATACCCCTGCAGAAACATAAGAGGAAATAGAATTTGGCGTAACATCTGTTTATGGCCCCATTCATTTCAGAAAGCTGATTATGCGGTTGGGCTCATTTTGTCGACTTACGAGAAATGTAAGGAGCTTTTCTTTGTCGTCTGCGCAAATCAGCGGTGATTGAATTGGACGTACAGCGCCAGTCGCCTTTCCTGTCCTGTTTTGGTTGAGAAACGAGGGCTGTTTGCTGGAATCTCTGTAATCGGCTGGAGAAGGCAGGGCTTGTGTTGAAAGGCAGAGCGCGGAGATAGACGCACGTCCGGCACTCATCTTCTCCGCTTGATTAGAAGCCGCAGAACACGGATTCACCCTCAAGGATAACCTGATTATGGTGGATCAGCTGAGTGCCGTTTTAATCCCATTATGAAGATCGATTTGACATGGCCACGAGGGAGGCCCGAGACATTTTTCAGCATAGACATTAAGGCTTCTAAATTGGTTTAACGTTGAATGATTCAACTTTAGCTTTATGATTTATCTTATTTTAGCCATGAAGGGCAACAGGTCTTTCTGGCCGGAGGAGGGAATGGACGACTCTTTTCAATAAAAAATCAAGGGAAAGAAACCTTGGATCCTTAGCCCACAATAATGCCATTTTATCACAAAATACAACCCGTTTTGAGGTGGCCCGTTAGGTCTTCTCCATCATAAAAGTCACAAACTAATTTTCATTTTCAGCTAATACCTGAATTCCGGTGCATTCTTCTGGGCGATGGTGTCCTGCGAGTCTCACAGCCACTCTCCCTGTTAATTTTTGCTTCAGGCTGTTCTGTATAATGACCGGTCGGTCCTGGAGAATCACCACGCGGCCTCTGCCTGGAGCCTCTTCCTGTCCCAGCCAGACTTCAACTTCCTGACGTACCTGGACCACGTGCAGTTCAAGAGATTCCGCTTTCTCGTCATCGAAGCCATCCTTGCCACCGACCTCAAGAAGCACTTCGATTTCCTGGCTGAATTCAATGCAAAGGTGCGTGTCACATATTCCTAACCTCAATCAGACATTAGATTAAATCATTCTTGCAGAGCACTTAAGGAACAGCCACTTTGTAAATTAAACAGTAAAAATACAAACCTCAGACGGAGCTAATTGGAGAGTATTGGGGGCTCCATCGGCCTAATATGGTCATTTACTGGATCTAAAGCCACAACTGTTTTCTTCGTTTTGGATGGGGTGGGGTAGGATTAGAACCCCCCGACAGATTTTATTCTTGTCTGTGTCCCCGCTGGGTTGATTCACCCTCCTGATAATCATGGTCTCCAGGGCAAAAATTCATGGAAAGTCAAACATTTTAAAATTGGACAATGGCGGCACATGTTCTGGTGACGAAGGGAATTTCCTCCCACGTCCTGTTGTATGTCCAGGACAGAAAGTGGAGGGAAATCTACCCAGTGGGGTATAGACAGCAAAAATGTCTGGGTTCAAGTGTTTCCAGTGAAGGTTCTGGTCATCCTCCATCATACAAAGACATTGTAGACAATTGGGCTCTTCCAGCCTTGTGGTCAGAGTTTGGTGAAGACTCTTTTCTGTCCCTCCATGACTGTCGCCTGTATACAAAGCCAGCTCCATAAAGACATGGTGTGACCAGCTTGGTGGAGGAACTCGAGTGCCCTGTACAGAGCCCTGACCTCAACCCTACTGAGCACAAACATTTGGCCATGTAGTGTAAGTGTGACCAAAAACATGGATGAAATGTTTTTTCATAGGTGCGTTTTGCTTTCTTACGACACCAACATTCGTGTTCACAAACCTTAGTCCCACAAATGTTTCAGAGGAGCAAATTGAGGTATATGCTGCTTTTATTTCCCCTCCCTTTCTCCACAGGTGAATGATGTCAGTAGTAACGGCATTGACTGGACTAACGAGAATGACCGCCTTCTGGTGTGCCAAGTGTGTATCAAGCTGGCCGATATTAACGGGCCGGCGAAGATGCGGGAGCTGCACTTGAAGTGGACAGAAGGAATCGTCAATGAGTTCTATGAACAGGTAGAGGAAATGACTGAGATAATGGATTCACACCAACACAACAATATAAAACAGGCAAAACGTGAACATTTTATGAGTTTCTGTGCTACAAACATATAAAGCAAATGTTCCAACGGTCTGTTTCGGCAGCTTATAACAGGGGCCCAGGCTCTTCTGAAATCATAGAAAGTGGCCCCAAAACATGCACAGGGCAGATGAAGGACTCTCATTGGTAGGAACGGGCAAAATTTTAAACAGTAGGAAATTATGTTTACCAACATTCACCAATGCACCCGCTCTCTCGCAGCCCCTCAAAGGCTCCATTTTTCCCCAAGGCCTCAAATACGTTTTTTGGGTTGGCCTTCTACAGGGACAGTTGAGCATATATTTTGGTGCTCTGGAATATTTCAGCCACTTTGGCAAAAAAAAGTTAGATTCCGAAATTGAATTTCTTACGGGACAACTCCATCCCTACCTACTGTATGTATCGATGATATACCGATCTCTTCTATATCCCACCCCACCGAAAATCTTTCTTTAGAGGCATACAGTGTGCTGTAACTCTAAGGCCTGGTTCACACCTAGGCGTATTGCATATGCGCGCCTGTCGCACGTTTTTTTACCGCGATTTGCGGTAAAAAAGTCGCGGGACAAACGCGCGTTTCTGAAGGCTACTTGGCTGTATCCCAACGGAAACGCGCAACAAAAACGGCCCAAAGTAGTACCTGTACCTTTTCAGGCGCGGGCCGTTTTGTAGCGCGTTAGGGACGGGCGGAAATACGCCAAGGTGGGAACGAGATCATTGAATACAACGGGATTTATATTTTTGAGCGTTTTGTAGAGCGTTCGCCGAGCGTAGAACGCGCTACAAAACGTTCAGGTGTGAACGAGGGCTAAACCTTACATAACCTCACCAATGTTGTTAATGTTTGTAGACATAACTGCTTGTTATTGTTTTGTATTCCCTTTTTACTCTGTGAATGACAAAATCCCTAAAAAATAAATAAATGGTGTAAACAAAATAAAAATTTAGATTTTCCACTTGGCCAACATTTTGTCAAAATTCTTTATTTTGAAGTCGGTGGGAAAAGCTAACGATATGTAAACCAAAACTTTATTTTGCATAGAGCAGGGAACTCCCTGATGTATAGCGGGGATACTCAGATGTATAGCGGGGATACTCGGATGTATAGCGGGGATACTCAGATGTATAGCGGGGATACTCGGATGTATAGCGGGGATACTCGGATGTATAGCGGGGATACTCAGATGTATAGCGGGGATACTCAGATGTATAACGGGGATACTCAGATGTATAGCGGGGATACTCAGATGTATAGCGGGGATACTCAGTTGTATAGCGGGGATACCCAGATGCATAGCGGGGATACTCAGATGCATAGCGGGGATACTCAGATGTATAGCGGGGATACTCAGATGCATAGCGGGGATACCCAGATGCATAGCGGGGATACTCAGTTGCATAGCGGGGATACCCAGATGCATAGCGGGGATACTCAGATGTATAGCGGGGATACTCAGATGTATAGCGGGGATACTCAGATGTATAGCGGGGATACTCAGATGTATAGCGGGGATACTCAGATGTATAGCGGGGATACTCAGATGTATAGCGGGGATACTCAGATGTATAGCGGGGATACTCAGATGTATAGCGGGGATACTCAGATGTATAGCGGGGATACTCAGATGTATAGCGGGGATACTCAGATGTATAGCGGGGATACTCAGATGTATAGCGGGGATACTCAGATGTATAGCGGGGATACTCAGATGTATAGCGGGGATACTCAGATGTATAGCGGGGATACTCAGATGTATAGCGGGGATACTCAGATGTATAGCGGGGATACTCAGATGTATAGCGGGGATACTCAGATGTATAGCGGGGATACTCAGATGTATAGCGGGGATACTCAGATGTATAGCGGGGATACTCAGATGTATAGCGGGGATACTCAGATGTATAGCGGGGATACTCAGATGTATAGCGGGGATACTCAGATGTATAGCGGGGATACTCAGATGTATAGCGGGGATACTCAGATGTATAGCGGGGATACTCAGATGTATAGCGGGGATACTCAGATGTATAGCGGGGATACTCAGATGTATAGCGGGGATACTCAGATGTATAGCGGGGATACTCAGATGTATAGCGGGGATACTCAGATGTATAGCGGGGATACTCAGATGTATAGCGGGGATACTCAGATGTATAGCGGGGATACTCAGATGTATAGCGGGGATACTCAGATGTATAGCGGGGATACTCAGATGTATAGCGGGGATACTCAGATGTATAGCGGGGATACTCAGATGTATAGCGGGGATACTCAGATGTATAGCGGGGATACTCAGATGTATAGCGGGGATACTCAGATGTATAGCGGGGATACTCAGATGTATAGCGGGGATACTCAGATGTATAGCGGGGATACTCAGATGTATAGCGGGGATACTCAGATGTATAGCGGGGATACTCAGATGTATAGCGGGGATACTCAGATGTATAGCGGGGATACTCAGATGTATAGCGGGGATACTCAGATGTATAGCGGGGATACTCAGATGTATAGCGGGGATACTCAGATGTATAGCGGGGATACTCAGATGTATAGCGGGGATACTCAGATGTATAGCGGGGATACTCAGATGTATAGCGGGGATACTCAGATGTATAGCGGGGATACTCAGATGTATAGCGGGGATACTCAGATGTATAGCGGGGATACTCAGATGTATAGCGGGGATACTCAGATGTATAGCGGGGATACTCAGATGTATAGCGGGGATACTCAGATGTATAGCGGGGATACTCAGATGTATAGCGGGGATACTCAGATGTATAGCGGGGATACTCAGATGTATAGCGGGGATACTCAGATGTATAGCGGGGATACTCAGATGTATAGCGGGGATACTCAGATGTATAGCGGGGATACTCAGATGTATAGCGGGGATACTCAGATGTATAGCGGGGATACTCAGATGTATAGCGGGGATACTCAGATGTATAGCGGGGATACTCAGATGTATAGCGGGGATACTCAGATGTATAGCGGGGATACTCAGATGTATAGCGGGGATACTCAGATGTATAGCGGGGATACTCAGATGTATAGCGGGGATACTCAGATGTATAGCGGGGATACTCAGATGTATAGCGGGGATACTCAGATGTATAGCGGGGATACTCAGATGTATAGCGGGGATACTCAGATGTATAGCGGGGATACTCAGATGTATAGCGGGGATACTCAGATGTATAGCGGGGATACTCAGATGTATAGCGGGGATACTCAGATGTATAGCGGGGATACTCAGATGTATAGCGGGGATACTCAGATGTATAGCGGGGATACTCAGATGTATAGCGGGGATACTCAGATGTATAGCGGGGATACTCAGATGTATAGCGGGGATACTCAGATGTATAGCGGGGATACTCAGATGTATAGCGGGGATACTCAGATGTATAGCGGGGATACTCAGATGTATAGCGGGGATACTCAGATGTATAGCGGGGATACTCAGATGTATAGCGGGGATACTCAGATGTATAGCGGGGATACTCAGATGTATAGCGGGGATACTCAGATGTATAGCGGGGATACTCAGATGTATAGCGGGGATACTCAGATGTATAGCGGGGATACTCAGATGTATAGCGGGGATACTCAGATGTATAGCGGGGATACTCAGATGTATAGCGGGGATACTCAGATGTATAGCGGGGATACTCAGATGTATAGCGGGGATACTCAGATGTATAGCGGGGATACTCAGATGTATAGCGGGGATACTCAGATGTATAGCGGGGATACTCAGATGTATAGCGGGGATACTCAGATGTATAGCGGGGATACTCAGATGTATAGCGGGGATACTCAGATGTATAGCGGGGATACTCAGATGTATAGCGGGGATACTCAGATGTATAGCGGGGATACTCAGATGTATAGCGGGGATACTCAGATGTATAGCGGGGATACTCAGATGTAGAGCGGGGATACTCGGATGTATAGCGGGGATACTCAGATGTATAGCGGGGATACTCAGATGTATAGCGGGGATACTCAGATGTATAGCGGGGATACTCAGATGTATAGCGGGGATACTCAGATGTATAGCGGGGATACTCAGATGTATAGCGGGGATACTCATATGTATAGCGGGGATACTCATATGTATAGCGGGGATACTCAGATGTATAGCGGGGATACTCAGATGTATAGCGGGGATACTTATAAATAGAAAATAATTTTAATATGATTTTGTTTATTATTTCCTCCAGGGTGACGAAGAGTCAAGCCTGGGTCTGCCCATCAGCCCCTTCATGGACCGCTCATCTCCCCAGCTGGCCAAGCTGCAGGAATCTTTCATCACGCACATAGTGGGGCCTCTGTGTAAATCGTACGAAGCCGCCGTATTGCTGCCGGGGAAATGGATAGAGGAGGAGGACGAGGAGATGGAGAGCGAAGGTGACGACGACGAGGATGGGGACGAGTTTGAGTCGGAAGATGAAGAAGTGGACGAGGACAATCCCAGTACGTACAGCCTGTCCTTTGTGTCCTGTATAACAGCACAGATGTTGGGGGGTCCCCATAACTAAATGACTTCCAGCCATGTTTGTTTAAATTGCATATAAATAAGAATTTTAATGATACTCCAAGTGTACTCCGTGTGTCGAAATCCTATTTTTTGACTTGCTTATACATTAAATGGCCAAAAATACATGCCCTCCATGCTCTTCCAAATTTGTGGTCACAGTTTGGTGAAGACCCTTTTCTGTTCCCCCCATGACTGTCCCCCGTGTACAAAGCCAGCTCCATACAGACACGGTGTGACCAGCTTGGTGGAGGAACTCGAGTGTCCTGCACAGAGCCCCGACCTCATCCCTACTGATCACCTTTGTGATGGACTGGAACTCCAGTTATGGGATATGTCTTCTTGTCCAATATCAGTACCTGACCTCACTAATCAGCACAAATTCCCACAGACACCCTCCAAAATCTTGTGGAAATCCTTCCCAGAAGAGTGGAGGATTGTATAGCCACAGAGGGGGCACCTTCTTATTAAA